GGATAATGTTGATGTATGTATTTTGTTACCCTTTTTTTTTGTTTACTTCTAATTCCCACATGAACAGCATGGGCACACTTGCAGAGGGAAGTTTTTCAGAGACTTTGGTTATTTCTAACATTCAGAACATGATACTTTTGGGAGGAGGGAATCCTTTTTTAATGTCCACAGCACTTTTAGTGAGTTTCAGAATCAAGTTAACAAAATTTAAACTTGGATGATAAAATTAGGGTTTAAACCTAAAAGTAACAAAACATTTGGAATGATTATGATAAAGGTAGAAAAATAAATGATAACCTCGTAGTAATCAAACTGAACGGACACAACGTCAAACAATAAAAACTACTAAGTTTCTGGGCATGACACTGGACCAACAGTTGAACTGGAAGAAACATTTGGATTACCTGGCTGTGTCTGGCTGTGTCTGGCTGTGTCTTGCCGAGGTCCTATAAATATGCTTAGATTTCCCAAGGGAAATGGATGGGGAGCTAACTCTATACTAATGCTTGTGTTCTGCAGATCATATATTAGAGGAAAGATGACTATGGAAGCATTCTGGGTGATTCTGCACCAAAAAGTAATAAATAAAACCCAGCAAACATATAATTGCTCGATGCACAAATAGAGGTCTCTAGCAGGAGGCCAGATGAGTATATTCCAAAAACTATTAAATGCATAACAGATCTGAGTAATTCAGCACCCTTGAACAACCTCTGCAGTAATAAAATTAATTGCCCTAAGCTGTCTCTGTGGCACTACAACCTCCCTATAGAAGCATTATAGTGACCTGACCCATATGAACACTAATGATCCTTGATATTAATGTGCATGTCATCTCACATAACATTCAACTGACTGACCTTTGTGACCTAGATTTTCTTTGTTAGCTCCCTTTTAAACTCATTTGCTATCACATTTAAAAAGGACGCTAGCAGGAAAAAAAATTGATTTTTTTAAAAAAAGATTTGGTAACCTCAGGTTTACCCATTAATTTAATCAAAATTACAATTTTTGTTTGTTTTAATAAATGAACTAGACTTGTTTACCGAAGCAGGACATGATCTAAACATGATTCATCCTGGAATGTGCATATTATTATTGGTGTATTACAGTTACAACAAGATGGCTACAACAAATAACAAGAATATTGTAAATTAATTATCTCATAGCAAACATGCTCATGGTAGAGGAGAGACGGGCTCGTAGTTGATTATTTTCTTATAGTTTATACAGTTATAAGTTGACATGATTCAAGAACAAACACATTGCTGACATTTTCCTGTCATACAAACATCAGAAGAATTATGTTGATTGTTTCATTCATTATGTTACTAAACATGCACAATGCATTCTTCTTGGATATGATAAATTTAGACTAGATTTGGCTGTTGAGGGTTGTTTCCCTTTTATTTTTTTACCTTTCGATGTGTATCACTGTTAGTCAAGTTTGCCTGCTGTGTGAATTAGTTCAGGGCTGTGCTGTAGTTTTTCTTGCTAGGATGCAAGTCTCTGAAATGCCCCCCTTTAAATGTTTAAACTGTATTATGATTTTGCTGCTTATGCTGCCCCTGTAGGTGCTGCCTGATGCAGCCGCGTCTCTGTATCATTGCATGGCACGGCCCTGGACCTGTTCTCTGTCAGTTCATGACCTCTGGTAGTTAGTAATGATTGCTTATGTTGTTGTGCCACATTGATTGGTCGATTCAATACTTACAGATTACCACTGATTGGTTGGTTGATTCAATACTTAAGATGACCACTGATTGGTTGCCACCCATTCTGTAACACTGATTAGTTGCACTGTTGTTTAATACTCATTGGCTAACCCATTTAACATTCATTGGTTGCTGTTTTGTGTAACACTGATTGTTCTATTGTTCCACACTTATTGATTTGTGTGTGTGTGTGTGTGTAACACTGATTGTTCTATTGTTCCACACTTATTGATTTGTCTTTTGTGTAACACTGATTGTTTGACCCCCCCCCCCCCCCCCGCCCCTGCACCCCTTTTTTTTAGCACTGAATGAGTTTTCCTTTTGAATCATTGGTTTTGGTACATGCATTACTGGAGATGGTTTGATGTACTTTTCACTTTTTAGTGCTCGCCAGCTTTTTAAGCATATGTTTAAAGAGTTCCATGGCATGTAAGTGTTGAGTGTGAAATGTTACATTTGGCTTCTACTGATCATAGGTGTTTTTTCTTTGATAAGTTTCTTCTTACAAGTACTAACTTATATGTGTGTAAACCTGGTGCAGGTAACCATCTTGCAGCCATATCATGAAGGTGGTTCTTAGCCACCACATTACAGAGGGAGCTTGACCTTGATCTGTATAAGGTGGCTTTTAGGGTCCACTCTTTGAAGGTTTTTCTGGGTCTTGAGGTTTCTGTGGTTTCTGGGTCATGAGGTTTCTGTGATTTCTGGGTCTTGAGGTTTCTGTGATGTCAAGGTCTTGAGGTTTCTGTGATTTCTGGGTCTTGAGGTTTCTGTGGTTTCTGGGTCTTGAGGTTTCTGTGATTTCTGGGTCTTGAGGTTTCTGTGGTTTTAAGGTCTTGAGGTTTCTGTGGTTTCAAGGTTCTGTAGTTTTTAAGGTCTTCAGGTTTCTGTGGTTTCTGGGTCTTGAGGTTTCTGTGATTTCAAGGTCTTGAGGTTTCTGTGGTTTCTGGATCTTGAGGTTTCTGTGGTTTCAAGGTCTTGAGGTTTCTGTGATTTCTGGGTCTTGTGGTTTCTGTGGTTTCAAGGTCTTGAGGTTTCTGCAGTTTCTGGGTCTTGAGGTTTCTGTGGTTTCTGGGTTTTGAGGTTTCTGTGGTTTCTGGATCTTGTGGTTTCTGGGTCTTGAGATTTCTGTGGTTTCAAAGTCTTGAGGTTTCTGTGGTTTCAAGGTTCTGTGGTTTCAAGGTCTTCAGGTTTCTGTGGTTTCTGGGTCTTGAGGTTTCTGTGATTTCAAGGTCTTGAGGTTTCTGTGGTTTCTGGGTCTTATGGTTTCTGTTGTTTCTGGGTCTTGAGGTTTTTGTGGTTTCAAGGTCTTGAGGTTTCTGTGATTTCTGGGTCTTGAGGTTTCTGTGGTTTCTGGGTCTTGAGGTTTCTGTGGTTTCTAGGTCTTGAGGTTTCTGTGGTTTCTGGGTCTTGAGGTTTCTGTGGTTTCTGGGTCTTGAGGTTTCTGTGGTTTCAAGGTTTTGAGGTTTCTGTGGTTTCAAGGTCTTGAGGTTTCTGTGGTTTCTGGGTCTTGAGGTTTCTGATTCTGTGCATTTTCCACTGAGCTCCAGTTGGATGGTTGTAGAGAGATAAATAGATAGGGAGTCAAAGACAGAGAAAGAAAGATAAATAGATAGGGAGCAAAGAGAGATAGATAGGTAGACAAAAAGAGAGACAAAAAGAGATAAGTAGGGATACAAAGAGAGAGGCAAATAGATAGGGAGACAGAAATAGAAAGAGAAAGAAATAGATAGGGAGAAAAAGAGAAAGAAATAGATAGGGAGACACACAGAGAACTAAGGACTCTCACCCAGCCCTGAAGCATGCTGGGCAAATGGTGCTCACCCAGTATGTTTATAGCCAATTCAATGCCAGATGGATGATTTAGTCAGTATCACATTGGCCACCTTTACTTCCGAAACCATTTCCATATTTTCTGGGTCAAGCTAGTCAAATGTTAACATCTGCACTGATAGATTTGAACCCAAGCCACTAGACAGGCAGACTGGCTGCTGCACCTGAATGATCTCAATGTATGTATGTATCCATCTTGTTCCACTGATATTGTATTTGGTTCTATCTGTTTCTGGAATGTTCCCCTTTGAGAAACAAAACTTGTGTGCCAAATTCACGCAAAATAATGTGTTCAGAGATTAGTGCATGTGTGACCATGCGGGGGGGGGGGGGGGGGTGTTAGTTTTTATGTTGGCTGGAAACTATGATGGGATACAGAACTGTGACAGCCATTGGACATGGGCCTTTTTTCTGGGGGATCCCAGAATGTGTTTCATTCACAAGAGAGCATCTGTCGAAGGAAAACCGTGGTGATTGCTTCCTCACAAAGATAGTACATGTGGAAGATATTGTGACTTCTCACACAGCATGCCCGGTCTTTGTGCCCACAACTGTTGGAATATATCATAAGTCAGTAAGTAAAGGGCCATTCTTCCAGCCTTCAGGCGTATTGGGCACACAGTGGTACAACTATATTTTACACCAACTGGGGGATGTGGTCAGAACCATGCCAGCCACCTTTACTTCCCAGAACTTTGTCTGCTGCTCATTGAAGGCTGCCTTGACCTGGAAGCCAGAGTTATGCAGGACAAAATCCGGCACCGTGCGGAAACTCATGACCTTCTGATCCGCAGGTGAGCATCTAGTGACCATCCCATGACGACTGCCCCTGGGAATTATAGTCTGTGTAACTATAGCTTGTAGGAGCTACCTGTTGGAGGTCCATGGAGTCTTAGCCTACCTTGTCTGTGTCTGTCTGTGGGACCTTGTCTGTGTCTGTGTGGGACCTTGTCTGTGTCTGTGTGGGACCTTGTGTGTGTGTGTGTGGGACCTTGTCTGTGTGGGACCTTGTGTGTGTCTGTGTGGGACCTTGTGTGTATGTGTGACCTTGTGTGTATGTGTGACCTTGTGTGTGTCTGTGACCTTGTCTGTGTGTGACCTTGTCTGTGTGTGACCTTGTCTGTGTGTGACCTTGTCTGTGTGTGTGACCTTGTGTGTCTGTGACCTTGTCTGTGTGTGACCTTGTCTGTGTGTGACCTTGTGTGTCTGTGACCTTGTCTGTGTGTGACCTTGTCTGTGTGTGACCTTGTGTGTCTGTGACCTTGTCTGTGTGTGACCTTGTGTGTCTGTGACCTTGTGTGTGTTTGTGACCTTGTCTGTGTGTGACCTTGTGTGTCTGTGACCTTGTCTGTGTGTGACCTTTTGTGTCTGTGACCTTGTGTGTGTTTGTGACCTTGTCTGTGTGTGACCTTGTGTGTCTGTGACCTTGTCTGTGTGTGTTCTGTTCTGAAAATGTCACCTATTTTTCATTGGCAGGCTCCTGAACCGCCCAGAGTTAAAGAAATAGAGGAAGATCGGATCATCCTTCGCCCTATTGGTCCAGGAGTTCAAACTCTAGAACCCGAAAACTTACACACAGGAACTTTGGGCCGACCTTCAACACCTGGCTTCCCTACAGCACCTGGTCAGTCTCCCATGCTCCTTCCATCAGTTGGCATCACAAATAGGGTTAGGTTTCAGAGCCCCCTTTTGGTAGGGAGAAAAAATTGACCTACTCTTCTCCTCCTCCCCCCCTCCCCTTTTTTTTTTCCACTGCCTTTTCAACAGGCATGTTATAAAGGTTGATTTTGCAGATGTGCTGTTGGATCAAAAGGTGCAGATATTGCAGCCTAGCTGTAAACCACATCCCAGCAAGCCAGCCATGTTTTTAAAGACGTATACAGAAGAATACTGTGTGTCAGAAGATGTCAGAAAGTTAGTCACACACTTACTGTTGCTCAGCTGTCAATCACTTTCTTATTAGCATCATTCTGTTTGTTTGAAAGGGGATTGGTACCTCAGTTCTATTTCTTTTTAAATTTTGTAATGCACCCCCCCCCCCCCCCCCCATTCCTCTAGAAGTTTTTTTTTCCCATTGTTTTATCCCTGCTGGTTACAAACTAAATTTTTGAAACATTTAAATAGCATGGCATGGGTTGAATATGTACAAGAGATAGAAGTACAAACAAATGGTGTGTGTAAGTTAAACATGTACAAGAGATAAAAGTACAGACAAATGGTGTGAATGGGTTGAACATGTACAAGAGATAAAAGTACAGACAAATGGTGTGGCGTTGGTTGAACATGTACAAGAGATAAAAGTACAAACAAATGGTGTGGCATGGGTTGAACATGTACAAGAGATAAAAGTACAGACAAATGGTGTGGCGTTGGTTGAACATGTACAAGAGATAAAAGTACAGACAAATGGTGTGGCGTGGGTTGAACATGTACAAGAGATAAAAGTACAGACAAATGGTGTGGCATGGGTTGAACATGTACAAGAGATAAAAGTACAGACAAATGGTGTGGCGTGGGTTGAACATGTACAAGAGATAAAAGTACAGACAAATGGTGTGGCGTGGGTTGAACATGTACAAGAGATAAAAGTACAAACAAATGGTGTGGCGTGGGTTGAACATGTACAAGAGATAAAAGTACAAACAAATGGTGTGGCGTGGGTTGAACATGTACAAGAGATAAAAGTACAAACAAATGGTGTGGCGTGGGTTGAACATGTACAAGAAATAAAAGTACAGACAAATGGTGTGCATGGGTTGAACATGTACAAGAGATAAAAGTACAGACAAATGGTGTGGCGTTGGTTGAACATGTACAAGAGATAAAAGTACAGACAAATGGTGTGCATGGGTTGAACATGTACAAGAGATAAAAGTACAGACAAATTGGGAAATGGGATATCATGAATAATGTGAGTTGATTAAAAAGAAAACAAATGCAGCAATGGTATATTTACAAAACAGATCACAGTTTGTTGACAGTAAAGCTGTGCAATGTTTCCACCATCTGACAGGCTAGGGATTGTTTATACTGACAGCAGTGATAGCAAGGTCCTCAGTTCATGTCATGGACTGCAGCATTTGCTTCACAAGAGGAATTTTTACAGGAACCCTGCTGGAGCTATAGAGTCTGTTCTTTGTGTGACAGTCATCAGATGACCAGCTATTCAGCATATAAAGTGCAAACAATAAAACCACTTGCAGCAGAGTTGATTCTAATAATATTAAACTGTTAAACTTCATATTTGTTGTAGAGTTTTTAATCGTAATCAAGAAACCAAACAAAAATATCAAACTTTGTCCTCTTTCAGCTGCCCAAAGGCCTGCTTTTTCGAGGACAGTTTCTTTGCTATTTGATTGAATTCATTTCTGTGTGGCAATCATTTTGCCTAAGTTAGGGTATTTGCTACAGCATCATGTCCGCTCGGTCAGGCTTGGCAGTTGGTTTCCAGATTTTTGGGAGTGGATTTGGCAGCCCTAAAAAGTGCTGCAATTTTTGCCTGGGGCGGCCTGGAACAGGAAGGGCAGAGTCTCCGGTGTGCTGGTTAGTTGGGCTGTCATGACGGCTTGGGTGGTTTCCATTAGCTGTTGCTTCTAGTGCTGGTAGTGGTTTTGTCTGTGTACTTTTTGGGTTTCCAAGGCGTCTGGTGTAGCTTTTGTTCTTCCTGAGCGAAATGTCGTGTGGCAGCTGTTTTCATTTGTTTGAAGAGTTGGAGGAACCAATATTGTCTGGCTTGGTATTCCTCAGGTGTTAGGCTTTTCTCCTCCTCTTTCCACGCATCCTCTTCATATTCTGTAGAGTTTTAAAAAATAATTTATGTCTTTTATCTCAGTTTAGTGCAAAAAAGTCTGGCATACGATATCACAACATCTAGTTTGAGAATGGAGGTGGAGGCAGTCACTGTTGCCTTCCGTTGGCTTGAGAATCAGCTGTACACACATACCGTGATTGTCACTAACTCACAGAGCATGTTGAGAAGGTGAAGTTAGGTATGCTCTGTGCAGAGTGGCAAGCATTACTTCAAAGGTCCCGGGTAGTTAGTATTCTTTGGATATTCTCTCCAGGTCATGCTGATGTGTTGGGAAATGAGCAGGCAGATAGACCGCCTGGTTCTGCACAACTTGGTGTTGAATTGATGCCTGACAAGCTAGACATTGTGAGGACCCTCTGGGACTGAGTGAACAGTGCGGAAGCACAAATAGATCATTACGGTCTGAGGAGAATGGGGCTGCGAGGAGTTGCCAGGGGATCTGGTCGACGCTCATTGCTCAAGGAAAGGGTGAGATGGATCAGACAGTGACTCGCCCCATTGGAACAGGAACTCTTTGCTTGCTGCTGAAGATGGAGACAGAGGGCTTATGGGGGTGTCCCGAGTACAATGATGTTGATTATCAATTCAATATTCAACATTTATCTCAGTTGTTGCTACCTTCACCCAACAGAAACATGTATTTAGTGAATTAATTTCTGTGTATTCAGTGAATTAGTTCTGTGCATTCAGTGAATTAATTTCTGTGTATTCAGCGAATTAGTTTCTGCATCTGTCTTCCAGGAGGTGGACAACAAATTGTCGGCCCCACAGCTACTCTACAGTCCTCCTCCTCCTCGCAACAACAGCAGCAGCAAAGCATGCAATACCAGCAGTATCATCAGGTGAGAGATGAACCTTATCTTGTCTTCCATCTCATTGTTTCCCACACTGTGCATGTAAACAGTACATCTTGTCTTCCATCTCATTGTTGCCCACACTGTGCATGGAAACATTACATCTTGTCTTCCATCTCATTGTTGCCCACACTGTGCATGGAAACATTACATCTTGTCTTCCATCTCATTGTTGCCCACACTGTGCATGGAAACATTACAGCTTTCTTTTTTCTTCTTCTAATAGTTATCTTCCCTGAGGAGTGAGTGGCTACCATGACAGTCTCTCAGATCTCCAACTTTAGTCAATTGTCTGTCCTTCACAGATTTATGTTACAATTGTCTATCCTTCTCAGATTTATGTTACAATTGTCTGTCCTTCACAGATTTATGTTACAATTGTCTGTCCTTCACAGATTTATGTTACAATTGTCTGTCCTTCACAGATTTATGTTACAGTTGTCTATCCTTCTCAGATTTATGTTACAGTTGTCTGTCCTTCACAGATTTATGTTACAGTTGTCTGTCCTTCACAGCTTTATGTTACAATTATCTGTCCTTCACAGCTTTATGTTACAATTGTCTATCCTTCACAGCTTTATGTTACAATTTTCTGTCATTCACAGCTTTATGTTACAATTGTCTGTCCTTCACAGCTTTATGTTACAATTGTCTATCCTTCACAGTTTTATGTTACAATTGTCTGTCCTTCACAGCTTCCTTTATGTTACAATTGTCTGTCCTTCACAGATTTATGTTACAATTGTCTATCCTTCTCAGATTTATGTTACAATTGTCTATCCTTCACAGTTTTACGTTACAATTGTCTATCCTTCACAGCTTTATGTTACATTTGTCTATTCTTCACAGCTTTATGTTACAATTGTCTATCCTTCACAGCTTTATGTTACAATTGTCTGTCCTTCACAGATTTATGTTACAATTGTCTGTCCTTCACAGCTTAATTGTTACAATTGTCTATCCTTTACAGCTTTATGTTACAATTGTCTGTCCTTCACAGTTTTATGTTACAATTGTCTGTCCTTCACAGATTTATGTTACAATTGTCTGTCCTTCACAGTTTTATGTTACAATTGTCTATCCTTCACAGATGTATGTTACAATTGTCTATCCTTCACAGATTTATGTAACAATTGTCTGTCCTTCACAGTTTTATGTTACAATTGTCTGTCCTTCACAGATTTATGTTACAATTGTCTGTCCTTCACAGTTTTATGTTACAATTGTCTATCCTTCACAGATTTATGTTACAATTGTCTGTCCTTCGCAGATTTATGTTACAATTGTCTGTCCTTCACAGATTTATGTAACAATTGTCTGTTCTTCACAGCTTTATGTTACAATTGTCTGTCCTTCACAGCTTTATGTTACAATTGTTTATCCTTCACAGCTTTATGTTACAATTGTCTATCCTTCACAGTTTTATGTTACAATTGTCTGTCCTTCACAGCTTTATGTTACAATTGTCTATCCTTCACAGCTTTATGTTACAATTGTCTGTCCTTCACAGCTTTATGTTACAATTGTCTATCCTTCACAGCTTTATGTTACAATTGTCTGTCCTTCACAGTTTTATGTTACAATTGTCTATCCTTCACAGCTTTATGTTACAATTGTCTGTCCTTCACAGCTTTATGTTACAATTGTCTGTCCTTCACAGCTTTATGTTACAATTGTCTGTCCTTCACAGCTTTATATTACAATTGTCTGTCCTTCACAGCTTTATGTTACAATTGTCTATCCTTCACAGCTTTATGTTACAATTGTCTGTCCTTCACAGTTTTATGTTACAATTGTCTGTCCTTCACAGCTTTATGTTACAATTGTCTGTCCTTCACAGATTTATGTTACAATTGTCTGTCCTTCACAGATTTATGTTACAATTGTCTGTCCTTCACAGATTTATGTTACAATTGTCTATCCTTCACAGATTTATGTTACAATTGGTTGTAGTTAATATCCAAGGAACCTGATCATTTCTAGGGACAGAGAATTAGTGCATCATATGGTCTTCATTGTGGGAGGTTCACGTTGTATAACAGCCAGAGGACAGAGAATTAGTGCATCATATGGTCTTTATTGTGGGAGGTTCACGTTGTATAACAGCTAGAGGACAGAGAATTAGTGCATCATATGGTCTTCATTGTGGGAGGTTCACGTTGTATAACAGCTAGACACGTATCTAAAGATTGCGGGTTCAAATTCGAACAGAGCCAGACATTTTTCAAAACCGACTTTGGTTCCCAGATAAAGTCCTGGGAAGTAAAGGCAGCCAGCATGTGTTGATACTATAACCCACCGAGTACTGACTGGTATATTACGTATAGATCTAGCGTTATATAGCCAGTAAACCTGGATGCCTGGGAAAGTGTCCGTTACTTTTTGTTTGTCTGGTTACCTGTGTATGTGACTTCTGCTAACTGTGTATGTAACTTCTGCTGTGTCATTGACTACTAGTTACCTGTGTATGTGACTTCTGCTAACTGTGTCATTGACTACTGGTTACCTGTGTATGTGACTTCTGCTATCTGCATCATTGACTACTGGTTACCTGTGTATATGACTTCTGCTATCTGCATCATTGACTACTGGTTACCTGTGTATGTGACTTCTGCTAACTGTGTCATTGACTACTGGTTACCTGTGTATGTGACTTCTGCTATCTGCGTCATTGACTACTGGTTACCTGTGTATGTGACTTCTGCTATCTGCGTCATTGACTACTGGTTACCTGTGTATATGACTTCTGCTATCTGCATAATTGACTACTGGTTACCTGTGTATGTGACTTCTGCTAACTGTGTCATTGACTACTGGTTACCTGTGTATGTGACTTCTGCTAACTGTGTCATTGACTACTGGTTACCTGTGTATGTGACTTCTGCTAACTGTGTCATTGACTACTGGTTACCTGTGTATGTGACTTCTGCTAACTGTGTCACTAACTCCTGGTTACATTCTGTCAGGCCCAGCAATACCAGACTCAGACTCAAACTTTACACCATGACGGGCAGGGGCAGAACACTCTGCACATTGACACCAGTCCACGGATGATTTATCCCTCACAGAGCCCTTCTGCTGGAAGGTATGCAATGTTGACACTTGGTGTACTAATTATGTGTACGGACTGTTGACAGTTTGTGTACAATCTGTTTACACTCGTACTTGTTTTTGCTTTACTGTTTTTGAGAATTGCTGTTGTTCAGGTGTCAGATGCATACAATTGTTGTTTATGTCTAATGTATGAGTATCACACGCAAGCGGTTACTGTTTGTGACTCCATCTGTTGTGACTGCTGTATGAGTATCACACGCAAGGGGTTACTGTTTGTGACTCCATCTGTTGTGACTGCTGTATGAGTATCACACGCAAGCGGTTATTGTTTGTGACCCCATCTCTTGTGACTGTTGCATGAGTAGCACACACAAGGGGTTACTGTTTGTGACTCCATCTCTTGTGACTGCTGTATGAGTAGCACACGCAAGCGGTTACTGTTTGTGACTCCATCTCTTGTGACTGCTGTATGAGTAGCACACGCAAGCGGTTACTGTTTGTGACTCCATCTCTTGTGACTGTTGCATGAGTAGCACACGCAAGCGGTTACTGTTTGTGACTCCATCTCTTGTGACTGCTGTATGAGTAGCACACGCAAGCGGTTACTGTTTGTGACTCCATCTCTTGTGACTGACTGAGATAACCGTCTTACCCACACAGAGAGTTTCAGCAAATTCTGTCTCTCTAATTTTTTTTTTTTTCATCTATATTAGTTGACTGGCTAGTCCTCTGGAGTTTTCACAGACATACACATCATTGAAGTGCTGAGAATGGCTGACATCTATCACAGTTAGGTTGATGTAATGATTCTTGTCTCAGTTTCTGATCTCCGATGGCTGACATCTGTCAGAGTTAGGTTGATGTAATGATTCTTGTCTCAATTTCTGATCTCTGATGGCTGACATCTATCACAGTTAGGTTGATGTAATGATTTTTGTCTCAATTTCTGACCTCCATGGACACTGTTGTGGGACTCTCCTGTCCCCTGCAAGCTGAGAAGTCAGCATTGTGTACAAGACAGGACCTGAAACTGCACGTCTGCAGACAGAATGTACCTGATGTAACAAAGCCATCATTGAGCACAGTAAACACAGAACAAGCAGATTAGGCTGCCAGATTTCCTAGGCTTTTGTTAGCAGAGTTTCCTCCAGATAGTAAACCAGTCGGTCAGTCAAGTCTTTTCATGCAGTTCAGGTATTTCATTGTCTGCTGACTGTGGGCCAGGTGCTAGGGTACAGATCACCGTGGATAGCTTCAGTAGCTTTATGTGAGTCACTGTGCATGTTCCCAGCATTTACGCCTTATTTATGCTGCTGTTCACATCATCCAGCCTACAGCCATTGCTCTCAGTTATCATTGTCATTAATCTCCCTGTACTCAGTTAACATTATCATTAATCTCCCTGTTCTCAGTTAACATTATCATTAATCTCCCTGTTCTCAGTTATCATTAATCTCCCTGTTCTCAGTTAACATTGTCATTAATCTCCCTGTTCTCAGTTAACATTATCATTAATCTCCATGTTCTCAGTTATCATTATCATTAATCTCCCTGTACTCAGTTAACATTATCATTAATCTCCCTGTTCTCAGTTAACATTGTCATTAATCTCCATGTTCTCAGTTATCATTAGCATTAATCTCCCTGTACTCAGTTAACATTATCATTAATCTCCCTGTTCTCAGTTATCATTATCATTAATCTCCCTGTTCTCAGTTAACATTATCATTAATCTCCCTGTTCTCAGTTATCATTATCATTAATCTCCCTGTTCTCAGATAACATTATCATTAATCTCCCTGTACTCAGTTAACATTATCATTAATCTCCCTGTTCTCAGTTAACATTATCATTAATCTCCATGTTCTCAGTTATCGTTATCATTAATCTCCCTGTTCTCAGTTAACATTATCATTAATCTCCCTGTTCTCAGTTATCATTAATCTCCCTGTTCTCAGTTAACATCATCATTAATCTCCCTGTTCTCAGTTAACATTATCATTAATCTCCCTGTTCTCAGTTAACATTATCATTAATCTCCCTGTTATCAGTTATCATTATCATTAATCTCCATGTTCTCAGTTAACATTATCATTAATCTCCCTGTTATCAGTTATCATTATCATTAATCTCCCTGTTATCAGTTATCATTATCATTAATCTCCATGTTCTGAGTTACCATTAGCATTAATCTCCCTGTTATCAGTTATCATTATCATTAATCTCCATGTTCTCAGTTAACAGTATCATCAATATCCATACTCTAAGATGACATTATCATTAATATCCATTTTCTCAGTTAACAGTATCAATAATCTCCCCATTCTCAGTTAACTCTTTGAGTCCCAAAGAATGCATCATACATTCATAAGTTTTTATCTAGAAGTCCATTTAACGCATGATGGGCAGATTTTATATCTATCTTTACTACCCGTTAGGTCTGGGATGCTAAACCCACTGTGACTCAGAGAGTTACAACTATTATTAATCTCCATTGTCTCAGTTAATGTTATCATTAATCTTTGTGTTTTCAGTTAATATTATCATTAATTTCCCTGTTCTCAGTTAACATTATCATTAATCTCCCTGTTCTCAGTTAACATTATCATTAATCTCCCCTTTCTCAGTTAATGTTATCATTATTTTCCCCTATTCTCAGTTAACACTATCATTGATCGCCATGTTCTTAGTTAACTTTATCAATAATATCCATTTGCTCAGTTAACATTATCATTAATCTCCATTAAAATGTATCTCCCATCCTCAGGTGACATTATCCTTAATCCAACTGTTCTAATTTAGAATTTTTAATAATCTCTGTTCTCAGTTAACATTATCATTAATTTCCTCATTCTCAGTTAACATTTTCATTAATCTCCCCATTCTCAGTTAACATTATCTATAATCTCCCAGTTCTAAGTTAACATTATCATTAATCTCTCCACACACTAATGAATGCTACAACATAACTGACCTGTGTCCGGTAAAATAAAGGTTCCTTTTCCATGCCTTTGGGCACATTGGGCGTCTATATTTTATTGACCAATGGGCACTCGGTGGATTATATGGTCAGCATCACACCGGCCACCTTTACTTCACAAGACTTTACCTGGTAGCCATTTAAGGCTAGGTCAAGCTGGAAGTCAAGGTCATATACAGTCTGTCTCCAATTCTGATTTGAACCCACTACCTTCAGATCCACGGGCAAGCTGAACTCATGTCCAGGAGAAGACAAAAATACAACAGTCATAAGTGTTGTTTCTTTTTAAAACATATCATAATGTTTGTTATTTGACTGTGCAATATTGTTCAGAAAAACAGTGTTCAGTATTTCTGGCAAGTTTAGTTCTCACCAGGAGAGTTGTCCATGTGGGGATTGGAGCTGTTTGTGTTGTGATCTCAAATTGATGGATCTGTGTTCACATCAGCAATTCATTCCCCATTGCTTTGTTTTGCTTTAAATGTCAGCTGCATTTACTTGTGTATTTATTTTGTTTTGCTGATCCCACATTTCTTGGGAAAGCAGTGCCATCTATGCTTTCAGAACACAAGCATCAATTACTGTCTCAGTTATATGTTTTCTTCAAATAAGGCTGTCCTATGTGTGATATCGCGCAATATCTTGCCTGATGACAATAGGTGATATTACTGTTAAATGATGACAATAGATGCTAATGTTGTTACATGATGACAGTAGATGATATAACTGTTACATGTTGACAGTAGATGATTTTGCTGTTACATGATGATAGTAGATGATATTACTGTTACATGATGATAGTAGATGATATTACTGTTACATGATGACAGTAGATGATAATGTTGTTACATGATGACAGTTGATGATATAACTTACATGATGACAGTAGATGATAGTTGTTACATGATGTCAGTAGATGATATTACTGTTACATGATGACAGTAGATGATAGTTGTTAAATGATGACAGTTGATGATATAATTTACATGATGACAGTAGATAATATTACAGTTATATGATGACAGTAGATGATAGTTGTTACATGATGACAGTTGATGATATAACTTACATGATGACAGTAGATGATATTGCTGTTACATGATGTCAGTAGATAATATTACTGTTACATAATGTCAGTAGATGATATTACTGTTACATGATGACGATTGATGATATAACTTACATGATGACAGTAGATGATATCGCTGTTACATGATGTCAGTAGATGATATTACTGTTACATGATGTCAGTAGATGATGCTACTGTTACATGATGTCAGTAGATGATGTTACTGTTACATGATGTCAGAAGATTATATTATTGTTACATGATGACAGTTGATGATATAACTTACATGATGTCAGTAGATGATATTACTGTTACATGATGTCAGTAGATGATATTACTGTTGCATGATGTCAGTAGATGATATTACTGTTACATGATGTCAGTAGATAATTTTACTGTTACATGATGTCAGTAGATGATATTACTGTTACATGATGACAATAGATGATATTACTGTTACATAATGACAATTGAAGATATTGTTGTTACATGATGACAGTTGATGATATAACTTACATGTTGACAGTAGATGATTTTGCTGTTACATGATGTCAATAGATGATATTACTGTTACATGATGACAATAGAAGATATTACTTTTACATGATGACAATAGATTATATTGTTGTTACATGATGACAATAGATTATACTGTTACCTGATAACAATAGATTATACTGTTACATTATGACAATAGATGATGTTACTGCTACATGATGATAGTAGAGGATATTGCTGTTACATGATGACAATAGATGATGTAACTGGTTATCCCTGGTAGCAGACTTGTCAACTTTTGTTGATGGCCATTTTCTGATCATCTTTAAAATGGCTTCTTTTTTTTTTTTTTAAACAGCATGGGCTGCTAAATTTCCCCCACAGAAAAGTCCATACGAAGTAAAAGCAATTAGAACAATTTTAATGATCTCACCTCTTAAATGCTGAATGGTCTCAAATAATAGGCATCTAGCACCATGTACCCAACACTTGCCATGTGGTTAAAGGTGAGGTATCTAAGTGGTGCTGGTGGGGATGATGATGATGATGTTGATGGTTTGACAAAACAACCATGAATCTTGAATACTTTCTGCTTGCCCTTGTTCAGCCCACCATCTCCTGGCAACTTCAACACCTTCAGACAGCAGATGTCTGAGTCCGTTGGAAGTCTTGGCCCTCACTCAGTCACAGGTCAAAGCTCACCAAGCGTCTACTATGGACTGTCTAGAAGGGGCAGTCTTTCCTCCTTGACTGGTAGGTATTTTGAGTTTGTAGGTGTTTAAGATTGTAGGTATTTTAAGTTTGTAGGTGTCTAAGATTGTGGGTGTTTAAGATTGTAGGTGTTTACGATTTTAGGTGTTGACGTTTGTAGGTGACAAAACCTTGAAGTCAGCATCACAGAAACCTCCTACAGTTTTGCGTTTTTTAATTCTATTATGTCACCCAGAAAAAAACAATTAATGTCGAAGAAACTGAAAATGCCACAAACATTGAAAACCTAAGCTCTATAATCAATAGCAATGGAGATTATTTTACAGAAATCAAAAGGAGGATGGCTATAGCAATGCAAAGATTGAACAGCATAAACAATTTTTTTGGTTAAGCACCAGCAAGGAAATTAAAATTCTGAGAGCATACATGGCATGCATCTTCCCTGTCACATTATATGTCTTCCCTGTCACATTATATGTCTTCCCTGTCACATTATATATCTTCCCTGTCACATTATATGTCTTCCCTGTCACATTATATGTCTTCCCTGTCACATTATATATCTTCCCTGTCACATTATATGTCTTCCCTGTCACATTATATATCTTCCCTGTCACATTATATGTCTTCCCTGTCACATTATATGTCTTCCCTGTCACATTATACGGATGTGAGTCGTGGACTATCTCCCAGTCCTTAAGAAAGAAAATAGGGGCTTTTGAGCTGAAATGCTATCAAAAGATTCTCAGAATATCATGGACAAGAGGAGAAATTTTGACATTTTAAAAGATCTGAACATCAAAGAAGATTGGTTAATAAACATCCTCTTGTCTCGGAAGCTGAAATATTTTGGACATATCAAGCGCCAAAGCAGTTCTGAAAAAAATAATAGAAGGCGTGGTATGAGGAAGAAGAGGTAGGGGCCAACCAACATGAAGATGGGCACAGGATATAAGTGAATCCTTGTATAACAAAGTACATGAGGCAGAAAAGCTGACAAGAGACCAAGTTTCTTTCAGTCAGACCATGATGCTAGCAACATTCTGCAAAGGACCTGCTACATGATAATGAATATGTTGAATTCTGTTATTTGATCTGATATATAGTCAAACCATCTGCTTTCTGTCACTTGATGAAATAGATAGCTGAAGTTGTTCCCGCTAGCCTTCTTATGTCACTTCTTGTCTCTTGCTAATTTGATCTCCATTGTTTGTTTTTGTTTTTTGTTTGTCTTGATGTGTGTCTGTTTTTGTTTTTTTTCAGTTTAAACTCAGTCAAACCGTTGTCTTTATCAATTTTCTAGTTTTCTAACCAACATCTTCACCATTAGATTTCCCCATGTGCGTCTCCCTGTGTTCGACTTCCCATGTGTGACTCCCTGTGTGTGTCTTCCCATCTGTGACTCTATGTGTGTGTCTTCCCATCTGTGACTCTATGTGTGGGTCTTCCCATCTGTGACTCTATGTGTGGGTTCTGGAGCCACATTCAGATGGAAAGGAATAAATCAGGGGCCCCTTAATGAGCATGTCAAAAATGGTGACAAATTAAAGTTTGTTCAAAGCAGATGTGTTGGGCAAAAATGCATAATGTCATACCCTAGCTGTAAACCACAACATTGTGCTAACATCCTTTTTAAGTGTGAGCACAGAAGAAGATCTGACGTGAAACTCCTGAGTGCATGTCGTCACGGCTTCTACTGTGTTAGCCTTTCCTGAGTGCATGTCGTCACGGCTTCTACTGTGTTAGTCTCACACAAGACAGACAACAAGATGTACACTGTCTAGCCTCTCTTGAATACAAGTGGAATTTCCTGTACAGTCACTTGTTTGGTTTATGCAAGTGTCACATGTTGGCTTCACTATCTTCTCTGTGTGAAGTTTATCCTCGGTTTGCTAGTCCATGATGGCTCTTGGAAGTGTTGAGTTCATCTTGTTGTCTGGTGACTTGCAGCAGCCATGTTGGATGATAAGTTTGTTTATTTGTTAAGTATGTTACTGTTGATATTTTCTCTGTTCTCTTTGTGATGTATTTATTTATTCAAAGTTGCAGATACCCCACATCTGCATGCATGGTTAACTCTGGCTGTGTTGATTCATTCTCTGCCCTGGAATGCAGAGGTCCTGTGTTTTCTTATGTACTATTCTCTCCTCTCTACTGCGACATAAAAATACTTGGAGATGCTCTTACCTAGTCAGTGCTTTCTACCTCTTGGTTAGTCTCTTGTCTAGACACCCAGTCTTCTTGGTGTAGAGAGAAACCTTGTGAGAATCGAGTCCACAACTTCTAAGTTTTCTTGGTGTGATGATGATGTTTTCTGACACGCACGCTGCTATTTGAAATGTTTGGACATGTACAAGATGCCAGCAGAGTGACCTCCCTTCCTCTTTATCCTGGAATAGAAATGACATAGCAACAGGGAGTAACATGACACAATCAACAAGACTGAGATAGCTACAGCACAAATGGCTGAGTTGTACATTAGATTAAGACATAGACAACAAGACTGGGATAGCTACAGCACAAATGGCTGAGTTGTACATTAGATTAAGACATAGACAACAAGACTGAGATAGCTACATCACAAATGGCTGAGTTGTACATTAGATTAAGACACAGACAACAAGACTGGGATAGTTACAGCACAAATGGCTGAGTTGTACATTAGATTAAGACATAGACAACAAGACTGGGATAGCTACAGCACAAATGGCTGAGTTGTACATTAGATTAAGACATAGACAACAAGATGGGATAGCTACAGCACAAATGGCTGAGTTGTACATTAGATTAAGACATAGACAACAAGACTGAGATAGCTACAGCACAAATGGCTGAGTTGTACATTAGATTAAGACATAGACAACAAGACTGGGATAGCTACAGCACAAATGGCTGAGTTGTACACTAGATTAAGACATAGACAACAAGACTGGGATAGTTACAGCACAAATGGCTGAGTTGTACATTAGATTAAGTCATAATCAACAAGACTGGGATAGCTACAGCACAAATGGCTGAGTTGTACATTAGATTAAGACATAGACAACAAGACTGGGATAGTTACAGCACAAATGGCTGAGTTGTACATTAGATTAAGACATAGACAACAAGACTGGGATAGCTACAGCACAAATGGCTGAGTTGTACATTAGGTTAAGACATAGACAACAAGACTGGGATAGCTACAGCACAAATGGCTGAGTTGTACAGTAGATTAAGACATAATCAACAAGACTGAGATAGCTACAGCACAAATGGCTGAGTTGTACATTAGATTAAGTCATAATCAACAAGACTGGGATAGCTACAGCACAAATGGCTGAGTTGTACATTAGATTAAGACATAGACAACAAGACTGGGATAGCTACAGCACAAATGGCTGAGTTGTACACTAGATTAAGACATAGACAACAAGACTGGGATAGTTACAGCACAAATGGCTGAGTTGTACATTAGATTAAGTCATAATCAACAAGACTGGGATAGCTACAGCACAAATGGCTGAGTTGTACACTAGATTAAGACATAGACAACAAGACTGGGATAGCTACAGCACAAATGGCTGAGTTGTACATTAGATTAAGTCATAATCAACAAGACTGGGATAGCTACAGCACAAATGGCTGAGTTGTACAGTAGATTAAGACATAATCAACAAGACTGAGATAGCTACAGCACAAATGGCTGAGTTGTACATTAGATTAAGTCATAATCAACAAGACTGGGATAGCTACAGCACAAATGGCTGAGTTGTACATTAGATTAAGACATAATCAACAAGACTGGGATAGCTACAGCACAAATGGCTGAGTTGTACATTAGATTAAGTCATAATCAACAAGCCTGAGATAGCTACAGCACAAATGGCTGAGTTGTACATTAGATTAAGTCATAATCAACAAGCCTGAGATAGCTACAGCACAAATGGCTGAGTTGTACATTAGATTAAGACATAATCAACAAGCCTGAGATAGCTACAGCACAAATGGCTGAGTTGTACATTAGATTAAGACACAGACAACAAGCCTGAGATAGCTACAGCACAAATGGCTGAGTTGTACATTAGATTAAGACATAATCAACAAGACTGGGATAGCTACAGCACAAATGGCTGAGTTGTACATTAGATTAAGACACAGACAACAAGACTGGGATAGCTACAGCCCAAATGGCTGAGTTGTACAGTAGATTAAGACACAGACAACAAGATGAGATAGCTACAGCACAAATGGCTGAGTTGTACAGTAGATTAAGACATAATCAACAAGACTGAGATAGCTACAGCACAAATGGCTGAGTTGTACATTAGATTAAGACACAGACAACAAGCCTGAGATAGCTACAGCACAAATGGCTGAGTTGTACATTAGATTAAGACATAATCAACAAGACTGGGATAGCTACAGCACAAATGGCTGAGTTGTACATTAGATTAAGACACAGACAACAAGCCTGAGATAGCTACAGCACAAATGGCTGAGTTGTACAGTAGATTAAGACATAATCAACAAGACTGGGATAGTTACAGCACAAATGGCTGAGTTGTACATTAGATTAAGACATAGACAACAAGACTGGGATAGTTACAGCACAAATGGCTGAGTTGTACATTAGATTAAGACATAGACAACAAGACTGGGATAGCTACAGCACAAATGGCTGAGTTGTACATTAGATTAAGACATAGACAACAAGACTGGGATAGTTACAGCACAAATGGCTGAGTTGTACATTAGATTAAGACATAGACAACAAGACTGGGATAGCTACAGCACAAATGGCTGAGTTGTACATTAGATTAAGACATAGACAACAAGACTGGGATAGTTACAGCACAAATGGCTGAGTTGTACATTAGATTAAGACATAGACAACAAGACTGGGATAGTTACAGCACAAATGGCTGAGTTGTACATTAGATTAAGACATAGACAACAAGACTGGTTGTATAGCTACAGCACAAATGGCTGAGTTGTACATTAGATTAAGACATAGACAACAAGACTGGGATAGTTACAGCACAAATGGCTGAGTGGTTAAGTTGGGATAGTTACAGCACAAATGGCTGAGTTTGTACATTAGATTAAGACATAGACAACAAGACTGGGATAGTTACAGCACAAATGGCTGAGTTGTACATTAGATTAAGACATAGACAACAAGACTGGGATAGTTACAGCACAAATGGCTGAGTTGTACATTAGGTTAAGACATAGACAACAAGACTGGGATAGCTACAGCACAAATGGCTGAGTTGTACAGTAGGTTAAGACATAGACAACAAGATGAGATAGCTACAGCACAAATGGCTGAGTTGTACACTAGATTAAGACACAATCAACAAGACTGAGATAGCTACAGCACAAATGGCTGAGTTGTACACTAGATTAAGACATAGACAACAAGATGAGATAGCTACAGCACAAATGACTGAGTTGTACACTAGATTAAGACACAATCAACAAGACTGAGATAGCTACAGCACAAATGGCTGAGTTGTACACTAGATTAAGATATAGACAACAAGACTGAGATAGCTACAGCACAAATGGCTGAGTTGTACACTAGATTAAGATATAGACAACAAGATGAGATAGCTACAGCACAAATGGCTGAGTTGTACATTAGATTAAGACATAGACAACAAGATGAGATAGCTACAGCACAAATGGCTGAGTTGTACATTAGATTAAGACACAGACAACAAGACGGGGATAGCTACAGCACAAATGGCTGAGTTGTACATTAGATTAAGACACAGACAACAAGACGGGGATAGCTACAGCACAAATGGCTGAGTTGTACATTAGATTAAGACATAGACAACAAGATGAGATAGCTACAGCACAAATGGCTGAGTTGTACATTAGATTAAGACATAGACAACAAGATGAGATAGCTACAGCACAAATGGCTGAGTTGTACACTAGGTTAAGACATAGACAACAAGACTGAGATAGCTACAGCACAAATGGCTGAGTTGTACATTAGATTAAGACATAGACAACAAGATGAGATAGCTACAGCACAAATGGCTGAGTTGTACATTAGATTAAGACATAGACAACAAGATGAGATAGCTACAGCACAAATGGCTGAGTTGTACATTAGATTAAGACATAGACAACAAGATGAGATAGCTACAGCACAAATGGCTGAGTTGTACACTAGGTTAAGACATAGACAACAAGACTGAGATAGCTACAGCACAAATGGCTGAGTTGTACATTAGATTAAGACATAGACAACAAGATGAGATAGCTACAGCACAAATGGCTGAGTTGTACACTAGGTTAAGACATAGACAACAAGACTGAGATAGCTACAGCACAAATGGCTGAGTTGTACACTAGATTAAGACATAGACAACAAGATGAGATAGCTACAGCACAAATGGCTGAGTTGTACATTAGATTAAGACATAGACAACAAGATGAGATAGCTACAGCACAAATGGCTGAGTTGTACAGTAGATTAAGACACAATCAACAAGACTGAGATAGCTACAGCACAAATGGCTGAGTTGTACACTAGATTAAGACATAGACAACAAGATGAGATAGCTACAGCACAAATGGCTGAGTTGTACACTAGGTTAAGACATAGACAACAAGATGAGATAGCTACAGCACAAATGGCTGAGTTGTACATTAGATTAAGACATAGACAAGAGTGCCTGAGAGACAGATGATCTCCAGAGTTCTACCGTTAACTTTTCTTTTCTCTTCAGACTCAGATTTGGTGCATGCCACACCAAAGTTTGTCAAAGACACGTCAAAGTTCTGGTACAAGCCAAACATTTCCCGGGAAGATGGTAGGTTTGTATGTGGTTGAAATATGTTGAGACAGAACATTATCTACTATGTACACGTGATTGTAATATGTTGAGACAGAACATTATTACTGTGTATTTGTGGCTGTAATATGTTGAGACAAAAATATTTTTGAGCACATGTATATGTGGTTGTAATATTTTGAGACAGAATAGTATTTACCATATTTACCACATATGCATGTGGTGGTTATATGTTGAGTATGTACTGTCTGTATATGTGGTTGTAATATGTTGAGACATAAAATTGTGTAAGACATTTATTTTTGGTTGTGATTTTTTTAGACAGAATATTATGTACCAAACAGTATTCTGAGCAAATACAGTAATAACAACTAAAATGTTGCATGTTTATGTAATTACCACTGTCACATATTTCATGATACTGTCTAATAATTATTGTAGAGCTCATACAAATTTTTGATAAAGGAATTTACAGATCATGTACAGATTGCAATCTTTGGTGCGTAGAACATAATGTATTCACAGTTTTTACAATAGAATTACATAAATGACTGCGTGAGTAAAGTAACAAGCCTCGTGAATGATATTACAGTACCAGTTCTAAATATGTAAATGTCAAATTCAACATGTGATAGCTAACCTAGATTCATTAATAAGTGGACAATAAATGCCTTGGAGCTAAAGAAATGGGGTGTTGTAGAAGAATGTTACACACCCAGCACAGACCGAATGTAGAATGGGGTGTTGTAGAAGAATGTAACATACCTAGGACAGACAGAATGTAGAATGGGGTGTTGTAGAAGAATGTAACATACCCAGCACAGACCGAATGTAGAATGGGGTGTTGTAGAAGAATGTAACATACCCAGCACAGACCGAATGTAGAATGGGGTGTTGTAGAAGAATGTAACACACCCAGCACAGACAGAATGTAGAATGGGGTGTTGTAGAAGAATGTAACATACCCAGCACAGACCGAATGTAGAATGGGGTGTTGTAGAAGAATGTAACACACCCAGCACAGACAGAATGTAGAATGGGGTGTTGTAGAAGAATGTAACACACCCAGCACAGACAGAATGTAGAATGGGGTGTTGTAGAAGAATGTAACACACCCAGCACAGACCGAATGTAGAATGGGGTGTTGTAGAAGAATGTAACACACCTAGGACAGACAGAATGTAGAATGGGGTGTTGTAGAAGAATGTTACACACCCAGCACAGACCGAATGTAGAATGGGGTGTTGTAGAAGAATGTAACATACCCAGCACAGACCGAATGTAGAATGGGGTGTTGTAGAAGAATGTAACACACCCAGCACAGACAGAATGTAGAATGGGGTGTTGTAGAAGAATGTAACACACCCAGCACAGACAGAATGTAGAATGGGGTGTTGTAGAAGAATGTAACACACCCAGCACAGACAGAATGTAGAATGGGGTGTTGTAGAAGAATGTAACACACCCAGCACAGACAGAATGTAGAATGGGGTGTTGTAGAAGAATGTAACACACCCAGCACAGACAGAATGTAGAATGGGGTGTTGTAGAAGAATGTAACACACCCAGCACAGACAGAATGTAGAATGGGGTGTTGTAGAAGAATGTAACACACCCAGCACAGACCGAATGTAGAATGGGGTGTTGTAGAAGAATGTAACACACACCCAGCACAGACAGAATGTAGAATGGGGTGTTGTAGAAGAATGTAACACACCCAGCACAGACCGAATGTAGAATGGGGTGTTGTAGAAGAATGTAACACACACCCAGCACAGACCGAATGTAGAATGGGGTGTTGTAGAAGAATGTAACACACACCCAGCACAGACCGAATGTAGAATGGGGTGTTGTAGAAGAATGTAACACACACCCAGCACAGACAGAATGTAGAATGGGGTGTTGTAGAAGAATGTAACACACCCAGCACAGACCGAATGTAGAATGGGGTGTTGTAGAAGAATGTAACACACACCCAGCACAGACCGAATGTAGAATGGGGTGTTGTAGAAGAATGTAACATACCCATGACAGACAGAATGTAGAATGGGGTGTTGTAGAAGAATGTAACATACCCAGCACAGACAGAATGTAGAATGGGGTGTTGTAGAAGAATGTAACACACCCAGCACAGACAAAATGTAGAATGGGGTGTTGTAGAAGAATGTAACACACCCAGCACAGACAGAATGTAGAATGGGGTGTTGTAGAAGAATGTAGCACACCCAGGACAGACAGAATGTAGAATAGAGTGTTGTAAAAGAATTTAACACACCCAGGACAGACAGAATGTAGAATGGGGTGTTGTAGAAGAATGTAACATACCCAGCACAGACAGAATGTAGAATGGGGTGTTGTAGAAGAATGTAACATACCCAGCACAGACACAATGTAGAATATAGTGTTTTAGAAGAATGTAACACACCCAGCACAGACAGAATGTAGAATGGGGTGTTGTAGAAGAATGTTACACACCCAGCACAGAATCTAGAATGGGGTGTTGTAGAAGAATTTAACACACCCAGCACAGAATGTAGAATGGGATGTTGTAGAAGAATGTAACACACCCAGCCCAGACAGAATGTAGAATGAGGTATTGTAGAAGAATGCAACACACCCAGCACAGACAGAATGCAGAATGAGGTGTTGTAGAAGAATGTAACACACCTAGCCCAGACAGAATATAGAATGAGGTATTGTAGAAGAATGTTACACACCTAGCACAGACAAAATGTAGAATGAGTTGTTATAGAAGAATGTAACACACCCAGCACAGACGGGATGTAGAATGAGGTGTTGTAGAAGAATGTTACACAGCCAGCACAGACAGAATGTAGAATGGGGTGTTGTAGAAGAATGTTACACACCCAGCACAGACAGAATGTAGAATGAGGTGTTGTAGAAGAATGTTACACAGCCAGCACAGACAGAATGTAGAATGGGGTGTTGTAGAAGAATGTAACACACCTAGGACAGACAGAATGTAGAATGGGGTGTTGTAGAAGAATGTAACACACCTAGGACAGACAGAATGTAGAATGGGGTGTTGTAGAAGAATGTAACACACCTAGGACAGACAGAATGTAGAATGGGGTGTTGTAGAAGAATGTAACACACCTAGGACAGACAGAATGTAGAATGGGGTGTTGTAGAAGAATGTAACACACCTAGCACAGACAGAATGTAGAATGGGGTGTTGTAGAAGAATGTAACACACCTAGGACAGACAGAATGTAGAATAGAGTGTTGTAGAAGAATGTAACACACACCCAGCACAGACAGAATGTAGAATGGGGTGTTGTAGAAGAATGTAACACACCCAGCACAGACAGAATGTAGAAATGGGGTGTTGTAGAAGAATGTAACACACCCAGCACAGACAGAATGGGCTATGCATATGCTCTACCAGAGGCCAGCCAACAAACTTGTCTTCATGAAGTTGAAAAAGAAATTGTCATCACTCTCTTGTCATGTTAAGACGAACAAACACTGGAGTATAGTTGATACGTTTTTTGGAAGACTAAACAAACACTGGAGTATAATTGATACGTTTTATGAAAGACCAAACAAACACTGGAGTATATTTGATACATTTTATGGAAGACTAAACAAACACTGGAGTATAATTGATACATTATTTGGAAGATCAAACAAACACTAAAGTATAATTGATACAATTATTGGAAGACTAAACAAACACTGGAGTATAATTGATACATTTTATGGAAGACAAAACAAACACTGGAGTATAATTGATACATTTTATGAAAGACTAAACAAACACTGGAGTATAATTGATACATTTTATGGAAGACAAACAAACACTGGACTATAATTGATACATTTTTATGGAAGACTAAACAAACACTGGAATATATAATTGATACATTTTATGGAAGACCAAACAAACACTAAAGTATAATTGATACATTTTATGGAAGACTAAACAAACACTGTAGTATAATTGATACATTTTATGGCAGACAAAACAAACACTGGAATATAATTGATACAATTATTGGAAGACTAAACAAACACTGGAGTATAATTGAAACATTTAATGGAAGACTAAACAAACACTGGAGTATAGTTGATACATTTTTTTGGAAGACTAAACAAACACTGGAGTATAATTGATACATTTTATGAAAGACCAAACAAACACTGGAGTATAATTGAAACATTTTATGGAAGACTAAACAAACATTGGGGTATAATTGATACAATTGTTGGAAGACTAAACAAACGCTAAATTATAATTGATACATTTTATGGAAGACCAAACAAACACTGGAGTATAATTGATACAATTATTGAAAGACTAAACAAATACTGGAGTATAGTTGATACATTTTTTGGAAGACCAAACAAACACTGGAGTATAATTGATACATTTTATGAAAGACCAAACAAACACTGGAGTATAATTGATACATTTTATGGAAGACAAAACAAACACTGGAGTATAATTGATACATTTTATGGAAGACAAACAAACACTGGAGTATACTTGATAAATTTTATGGAAGAAAAACAAACACTGGAGTATAATTGATACATTTTATGGAAGACCAAACAAACACTAAAGTATAATTGAGACAATTATTGGAAGACTAAACAAACACTGGAGTATAATTGATACATTCTATGGAAGACAAAACAAACACTGGAGTATAATTGATACTTTTTATAGAAGACTAAACAAACACTAAAGTATAATTGAGACAATTATTGGAAGACTAAACAAACACTGGAGTATAATTGATACATTTTATGGAAGACAAAATAAACACTGGAGTATAATTGATACATTTTATAGAAGACTAAACAGACTGCAGCAGAGACGACACATACCCAACAGCATGGCATGATGGATTTAACTCTAGAATACAGCTGCTTCACACACAAGAGACTTCAAGAAGAAGACACTACTGTTTATGTAACTATTTCCTCCAGAATTTGCGTAAGTCAATTTGTCTTCTGTCATCCGCAGCCATTCAGATGCTGAAGGACAAACATCCTGGATCATTTGTCATCCGAGACAGTAATTCCTTTCCAGGTGCTTATGGCCTGGCCCTCAAAGTGGCCACACTTCCACCAAATGTTCAGGCTAAATCTTCAGGTAATTGTTCATGTTTGTTGATTGTTTTCAGAATAATTGATCATCTTTGACTATTTGTATGGTTCTGTATTTAACCAGAGTGTTTTTCTTTGTAAGAATATGAATACTGGAGTATGAACAATAATATGGGGAAAACAACTGCAGTCAGTGTTTTTTTAATAAAAGTTAAGGTTTCTGTATGTAATATATAATGTGGAAACTATGCTGTCAGTATGTTTCCTCCTTTTTCTTTTTTTTTCTTTTTCTTCTTCTTCTTCTTCTTTTTCTGTGTCTTCTTTCTTACGCTTGAAATAGATTATCTGTATTTGCAATGTTGTCTCTAGTATGTATTTCACTGAGCTTTGTAATTCACTCAGCGACCCATTAAATTCGGCCTGCACCGGTGTTTCTCTTGGCCAAAAGTTTTGCCTTAATATGTTGTATTTGGGAGGACATGATCTGTTGCCTCAGGTGTCAATCCACATGTGCACATGGCTGATTGGCTCATCTTAAATTTTGTGTACATGTGGCTGCAAAGTCTATTGTGTCCTGTTCCAAATCATAGATTAATGGCTTGCTCTGGTTTGTCCATAAAATGGTAATCGTCTTGTGCTAGTTTTGGTGACTTTCTGATTGATTTGATTATTCTCTTCTTCTGTTGATAAGAGACTGGTACGTCAGTCATCAGTTCTCGTTATGCCTAGTGGCACATGAGGCTTCAGAGAGGACTTTCCATGCTTTCCTGTCCTGTGCAATCTTCAGTGCAGTTTTCCATGTCAAAGATGCCGCACTCAGGTCACTTTCCATCGTTCGTCTCCATGTTGTTTTTGGGCGCCCCTGTTTTCTCTTTCCCTCTGGTGTCCATGTGAGAGCTGTTTTGGCAAGTATATCAGAAGTCATTGTCATAACGTGGTCAAGCCATTTCCATCTTCTCTTGGTAATCATACTGTCTAAAGTTTCTTGGTTTGTGGCTTGAAGTCGTTTAGTGTTTAAGATTGTATCTGGCCAGAAAATTGTGATAATTCTACGTAGACATGTGTGGTGGAAGGTGGACAGCTTGTGTGCATCTTTTTTGGTCATTCTCCAGCATTCCGCTCCATAAAGAAGAACTGGCAAAATGATGCTCTTGTAGAGTCGGAGTTTTGTTCCTCTGCAGTAATTGTTGGATTTCCAGATTTGCCTCATCCTTCCAAAAGCAGCTCTAGCTTTGTTCAGACGTGACTGTATGTCTTCCTCTGTCCCTCCCAGTAGGGACACCACACTGCCAAGATATGTGAAATGTTCTACATTTTCAAGTGATTGGTTGCTTACGGTCACTGGTTGTTGGTTTGGACTGTTTGTCATGATCTTAGTTTTCTTTGTATTTATTCTCAGTCCCACCATTTCTGCTCTGCAGTTTAGTCTGTTACTTTTCTCTTGTAAATGTTCATGTTTATGTGATAGGAGTGCTATATCATCTGCAAAATCAAGGCCCTCAAGCATGGTGAATGGAGTCCATCGTATGCCTCTTAATGTCCTGTCTACTGTGTTCTTTAGTATCCAATCAATCACAAGGTTGAAGAGGAGAGATGACATAACACATCCCTGTCTTACACCCGTCTTTACTGGGAAAGATGTATTGTAATTTTTTATACTGCAGGAAAAGTCTTTATAGAAGAGAGCAATTATGTTGACTATTTTTTCTGGAATTCCATAATGTCGTAAAATTTTCCACAGACCGTCTCTATGGACGCTGTCAAAAGCTTTCTCAAAGTCCACAAAATTAATATATATACTTCTCTGCCATTCGTTGCATTGTTCTAAAATGTTACGTATGGCGAAGATGTGCTCAGTGGTTCCTCTGCCCTTTCTGAATCCTGCTTGTTCCACTCGTAGGCATTTATCTACTCCTTTTTCAAGCCGCATTATGATGATTTTACAAAATATTTTGCTTGGTACTGAGAGTAGAGTAATTCCCCTCCAATTATTGCAGTCTATTAAGTCTCCTTTTTTGGGGATTTTGACTATTGTTCCTTCAGTCCAGTCATCAGGCAACACTTCTTTTTCCCAAATATCCTTAAACAATGGTTCTAGAATGCTAGCAGTTGTGTTGGGATCTACTTTGAGAAGTTCTGCTGGCAGTTTGTCTTTGCCTGGTGCTTTGTTGTTCTTTTAAGTGTGGATAGCTTTAAGGATTTCTTGTTTGCTTGGTGGTTCAGTAATAATGTCAGTGTCCTGAGAGGCTGGTTGAATATCTGGGGGATTTTCAGGATCAGGTCTGTTCAAGAGGTTGGAGAAGTGTTTAGTCCACTGCATGTCTTGTTTTTGTTCTGTGGTGAGCAGTCTGCCTTGGTTATATCTGATGGGTATGCTGTGATAATTGTTTCTGTTTCCGCAAATTTGCTGGGTAATTTTGTGTAGGGTTTGTAGATCATGTGCTTTAGCAGCATTTTCTGCTGTTTCTGTAAGATTTTCCATAAATCTTCTCTTGTCAGCTCTGGCACTTTTCTTGGTCATTTTATTTAGTTCGCTATATTCTAACATTAGTTTGTCTTTCTGACGTTCTGATTTAGTGTGAATTATGAGGCTCTTTATTCTTTTTCGTTTGGCAATATAGTCCATGGTTTGACTACTTATCCATTCTTTGTGGTGTTGTTTCCTGGTTCCTAATATGTTATTGCTAGTTGATTTGTATGTTTCTTTGATCTGGTTCCATCTGTCTTGAATGCTGATTGTAGTTGGAGTTTCTGGGTCACTTGATAGGGTTTGAAATCTATTCTTGAGTTCTACTATAAATTTAGTGGCAATGTCTTTTTCTCTTAAAAGGTTAACATTGTAACGTGCTGTCTGTGTCTTAACTTGCGTGTAAACTTTTTTGAGTTTAAGTCGTAGTAGAGCGACTACAAGGTGACGATCGCTTCCCACATCTGCTCCCCTTTTGACATGCACATCGAGTAGGGACCCACGCCATTTTATGTTTACCATGAAATGGTCTATCTGGTTTACATCTCTTCTGTTTGGGGATATCCATGTAAGCTTGTGTATATTCTTGTGAGGAAATAGTGTTCAGTCAGGTTGTTCTTTATTGGCACCTTCCTTAGCTGCTTGTCAGGTCTCTCATTTCCTCAAACTCCACAGTGGGATGGTATCCATTGCATAGTTACTTTACACCAGTTACCAAGTTTGGAGTGTGGTGTCCATATACCAGGCAATTTTCCTGATTCAAGTGCCTGAAGTACTGCTCTTGCATCTTCAGAAATACCAGAGGCTGTGAAATATGACGTATATTTAACAGTTTCTCTGCTGCTATTTTTATGGCTTGAACTTCTGCACCATAGTTATAACAGTGCTTTCTTGTTTCTATCTTGGCTGTATATCTGGTATTATTTGGATGCTCAATGTATACTCCTGCTCCTCCATTTCTGCTTGCGTTTTGTGCTGACCCATCCATGTAGGCACGAACCTAAAGATCCTCTTGGTATTCATCATCAAGTAGACTGAGGGCGGCTGTTTTACCTTGCACACTTGTTTTTTTCCTTCCTTGTCGAATATTCCTTTCACATTTGTCTGGATGTGTATTGGAAACTTATACTCCTCTCTCCAGAGGGTCCGTTCTGGAACAGCATAAAAGGAGCTATCAGTTGCAGGCAGATCAGTGATTTCTGTGCAGAGCCGTTTGGCCTGGTGGATAAAACTGCTCCTCTTTAGTCCACCCATTGTTAGGTTTTGGAATCTTTCTTTCCTTGGGTGTCTTGGCATGCTGAGAAACTGTTCTGCTTGTATTAGCCTCTAGATATCTGTCAGTGACTGGGTCATCGCCAGCTTCTCCATTACAGCTATGAGTGATGATTTCATCCCACCTGTTATGACTCTCAGTGCTGGATTTTGCACCTTGTCGAGCTTTTGTAGAGTAGTTTTTAAAAGCTGAACTTCATGCAGTAGACCAGTGTTTAAGGTGTGGTCGTACACTTTATTTATAAACTTTCTTAAGTATTTTTCCATGTTGTTCCACTTAGTTTTCTTAAGATAGCTATCTTCCTTCTGGCTTAGGTTGCTGCCTTTTTGATGTATTTTCTCCATGTTAGCCTATCATCACGTGACTGCGAGGTATGTGGGCTCCTTATCCTCTCTTAGTGGTATTCTAATTATATGACTCCTGATTTTTTACTGGGGAGAGGGTGAAGAGCATGGTGCTACACTTGTCTATGTTAATGCTGACACACCATTTATCAGCCCTTGCAGTCATAGCATCTATGGAATGTTGTAGCAGTTGAGTGGTCACTGTTGCATATTTATTTGTGCACCATAGTACCAAGTCAGCAACATACAATGCAGCGGTAATACTATGGGGTAGTAGCAATTAGGTCATTGATATAGACCAAAAACAGTGGTGGAGACAGTACACCGCCTTGGAGGACACTTTGGCGCAGCAAGACTTTCTTGCTTTTGAGTCCGTCTGTTTGTACTCAGGAATTTCTGTTATACAAGTATGCTTTCACACATTTGTACATATTCTTATTCACTTTGTAGTTACTCAGTTTTTCTATGAGACCTTCTTTCCAGACTTTGTTGTCTCTATGATGTAAAAACTATACAGTCTATATGTTTGATATCTGATGTGAAATCTGTATGGTCCATATGTGTGCTGTTTAACTCGAAAATACGCAGTTTCAGCTGACCGTTTACTCCCAGTTACTGAAGCTTGTTCTTTGTTTGTCTTGCTGCAGGTGACCCACAGGCAGACTTAGTTCGACACTTTCTCATTGAGCCCACACCCAAAGGTGTTCGCTTGAGAGGATGTAGCAATGAGCCCGTTTTTGGTGAGATTTGTTTCCTCTGTAGTTTCATATACCTGATGATATATGTGGCTGCTCGATTGGTTTGTTGTTGTACCTGGTGATATGTGTGGCTGCTCAACTGGTTTGTTGTTGTACCTGGTGATATGTGTGGTTTTCTTAACTGGTTTGTTGTTGTACCTGGTGATATGTGTGGCTGCTCAATTGGCTTATTGTTGTACCTGGTGATATGTGTGGCTGCTCAATTGGCTTATTGTTGTACCTGGTGATATGTGTGGTTTTCTTAACTGGTTTGTTGTTGTACCTGGTGATATATGTGGCTGCTCAACTGGTTTGTTGTTGTACCTGGTGATATGTGTGGCTGCTCAACTGGTTTGTTGTTGTACCTGGTGATATGTGTGGCTGCTCAACTGGTTTGTTGTTGTACCTGGTGATATGTGTGGCTGCTCAACTGGTTGTTGTTGTACCTGGTGATACGTGTGGCTGCTCAACTGGTTTGTTGTTCTACCTGGTGATATGTGTGGCTGCTCAACTGGTTTGTTGTTGTACCTGGTGATATGTGTGGCTGCTCAACTGGTTTGTTGTTGTACCTGGTGATATGTGTGGCTGCTCAACTGCTTTGTTGTTGTACCTGGTGATATGTGTGGCTGCTGGTACTTGTTTATATCATTGAAGTATCATATAGAAAACACATTGACAAAAAATACTTTGTTGCTTTAGACAGAAGAGAGCTACACTGTCACTTAGATACACAATTGCATAGAATAGAAAATACATATTTTATTTTTAGACAATGTGATACTACCTGTGTTTACTTGTGTACAAGTAGTTTAACAGTGTTATACCCACCTGTGTTTTGTGTTTGCTGGTAGTTTGACAGTGTGATAGCCTCCTGTGATGTCTTATGTACAAGTAGTTTAACAGTGTTATACCCACCTGTGTTTTGTGTTTGCTGGTAGTTTGACAGTGTGATAGCCTCCTGTGATGTCTTATGTACAAGTAGTTTAACAGTGTTATACCCACCTGTTTTTTGTGTTTGCTGGTAGTTTGACAGTGGGATAGCCTTCTGTGATGTCTTATGTACAAGTAGTTTAACATTGTTATACCCACCTGTGTTTTGTGTTGGCTGGTAGTTTGACAGTGTGATACCCAGCTGTGTTTTGTGTTTGCTGATAGTTTGACAGTGTTATACCCAGCTGTGTTTTTTGTTTTTTTGTTTGTTGATAGTTTGACAGTGTTATACCCAGCTGTGTTTTGTGTTTGTTGGTAGTTTGACAGTGTTATACCCAGCTGTGTTTTGTGTTTGTTGATAGTTTGACAGTGTTATACCCAGCTGTGTTTTTTGTTTGCTGATAGTTTGACAGTGTTATGCCCATCTGTGTTTTGGGTTTTCTTATAGTTTGACAGTGTTATACCCAGCTGTGTTTTGGGTTTGCTGATAGTTTGACAGTGTTATATCCAGCTGTGTTTTGTGTTTGCTGATAGTTTGACAGTGTTATGCCCAGCTGTGTTTTGGGTTTGCTGATAGTTTGACAGTGTTATACCCATCTGTGTTTTGTGTTTGCTGATAGTTTGACAGTGTTATATCCAGCTGTGTTTTGTGTTTGCTGATAGTTTGACAGTGTTATACCAGTGTGTTTTGTGTTTGCTGATAGTTTGACAGTGTTATATCCAGCTGTGTTTTGTGTTTGCTGATAGTTTGACAGTGTTATACCAGTGTGTTTTGTGTTTGCTGATAGTTTGACAGTGTTATACCCAGCTGTGTTTTGTGTTTGCTGATAGTTTGACAGTGTTATCCCAGTGTGTTTTATGTTTGCTGATAGTCGGCAGTGTGATAATCTCCTGTTTTCCTTATCTCCAGGTAGCCTAGCAGCTCTTGTGTACCAGCACTCGATCACACCTTTAGCCTTACCTGGGAAGCTAGTTTTACCTGAACCAGGTGAGTATTTGTTGTCTGGAAGTTATTGATCATGTTTGGATATATAATATACAGGTTGATTAGAAATAGTTGATGATATTTGAAGTATTTTTTGGAATAATGGATCATGTTTTGATAATATCTGCAGGGATTGTGTAGAAATTGTTAATCACAAGTGTCATACCTGGTTTTATCCTGTTTCTAAAAATAATTCACCTTATGCAGCATTTTTTATCCACATTGGCTGTGACTAAGCTGGTTATGGTGTGTTGTTACTCCTCCTTTGTATTTTGTAGCTAAATTCTGTCTAATCTTGTTTCTTTTTGTTAGATAGCGTCTACAATTTGTTATTTCCTGCTTTTATTCTCCTGTAAATGACATTTTCAGCAAGTTTCCTTGTGCTAAAATTTTGAACTCATTTATTTTCTTCTATAAATAGGTTACCTGTTTTATAACCACTTTTTTTTTTTAAACATGTCCATCGCTTGTTATGAATTCCATTATGTTGTTATTGCAGGTCCATGTTTCTGCTGTAGCTAATTATTTTAACATCTCTCTATGACAGTTTACGACATAAGCTGTAGGACAAAAGACAGGAAACTAGATTTAACACCTCTCTGTGACACTTGTCAGCATAAGCTGTAGGCTCCCCCCTCCCTCCCCCAAAAAACATGAAAACAAAAATATTGCTGTAGCTGGATTTGTTCTGTGTGCATCACTTGCAGTCACCTTTGATATCCATTATCAGACAAAACTTGTGACAGACTTCCTTCAGTGGAGGTTTTCTGTTGTCTCCCATGTCCATTATTGAAGAAATGCCAGTTGTCTCTCACTGCTGAGATCCTCAGGGGTTTTTATTTTTATTTTTATTTTCTTTGTTTTCACAGAGAGATAGTTCTGAAAAAAAAAATTTTTTTGGGTGGGTCTTGCATTTGTTTTATATATTGTGTATATCAGGTAATTATGTTTGGTACTGTTCAGCTTTTTCACCACATCTCGTCGGTGCAGGATTTCATTGGGAGTTCTGCGGGACAGTCCCATACTCTAGAGGTATCATGGCATGCCTTCGATCATCGTGTGTATACAACATGCCAAAAAGTGTCTTAGATCGGTTCGACCGAGTCAACACACTGTCTGCCGCACAAAAGTGTGCAGGTTTGTTTTCTTGCAAACAAAAGTGAGCAACTGTCATTTCTGTGAACGATTGTTCATGGGTTAGAGTTCGATGCAGCAATACTGACAGGTCAAAGAGTTTGATGCAGCAATACTGACAGGTCAAAGAGTTCGATGCAGCAATACTGACAGGTCAAAGAGTTTGATGCAGCAATACTGACAGGTCAAAGAGTTCGATGCAGCAATACTGACAGGTCAAAGAGTTCGATGCAGCAATACTGACAGGTCAAAGAGTTCGATGCAGCAATACTGACAGGTCAAAGAGTTCGATGCAGCAATACTGACAGGTCAAAGAAATTCATGTCAAAGGTCAAGTCATCAATTAAGAACAGCGCTTCCTCAGATGGCAGAGTTAGGCCGAAGAACAAACAAACTAACACACAGTGGAAATGATGATGCAATAAACGGTAACAACAGTGAAAATGAGCAACACATAGGATTCCCCGGAATTCCCTACGAAATCTCGCACCCAACAAGATAGGGTGAAAAGGCTGAATAGCACCTTTATATTTTTTTTTTTTAGTTTATGTATAAATACGTCATCACCATATGATTTATTCATCTCCTAGATGCTGATTCTTTGGGTAGGAGGAGCAGGACTTGTCTATAATAATGTTGTACGTTCCCCTGTGTCCAGACAAAGCATTAGTAGCTGTACTGTTGTCTTTTGTACATTAGCCTTGTGTTATCAATGTTGAAATGTTTGTCTTGTCCATCTCTTTGCATTTGTGTTGCCTTTTTTACATTAGCCTTGTGTTATCAATGTTGAAATGTTCGTCGTGTCCATCTCTTTGCATGTTTAATGTTTATGACACTTGTTTGTCCTTCCATGAATGCTCATACAGTCACATTGATGTTTATGACACTTGTTTGTCCTTCCATGAATGCTCATACAGTCACATTGATGTTTAAAACACTAGTTTGTCCTTCCATGAATGCTCATACAGTCACATTGATGTTTATGACACTTGTTTGTCCTTCCATGAATGCTCATACAGTCACATTGATGTTTATGACACTTGTTTGTCCTTCCATGAATGCTCATACAGTCACATTGATGTTTAAAACACTAGTTTGTCCTTCCATGAATGCTCATACAGTCACATTGTCAACAGCTTTGGGTGTTTATTGTTTCAGATATGGTCACTGGAACCAACATGGCTGAATCTTTGAGTGCTACAGAAGTGAGTTCAGCATCCACTCTGCTGGCTCAGGGAGCAGGTAACGGACATTCATCTTTGACAGTCTTGTGATCGCACCTCACCCAGCATTGAAACCTGTCATTTACAATGTACTTATGAGCAATAAATGGAAATGGTCATGTTAAACCATCACATGACTAGGTCATTATCAGTGCAAGACAAACCAGAACAATTAGTATTGGAACTTTGCAATTGCTGCTGAAGTTGAGTAAGGAGCGGTCATGAGAATGCCCCGAGTGCTGTCATGTCAATTCTTGACACAATTCAACTCAACTCAACTTAACCCAACTTAACTCAACTTAACTAAGTGCAACTGCCAAAAAAAACTGCCAATAACTGCCTTTATTTGACCACTTTTGCCAGGTAGGCAGCGGGGGGGGGGGGGGGGGGGTGGGGGGGTGGGGGGGGGGGGGGTCTTTTAGTAGCCTGAGGATTGACGGCTGCATGGCTAGTGCTGTCGCCATGAATAGCAGGTGAGGATTTTATTTTGCCCCTGACAGAAAAAAATCCCCAGCCTAAGCAAGGATTCGAACCTGGGTCTCCCACAAAAATGCCCAGTGTTCTAACTGTTGTGCCAGCCGCTCCTCACTCAGTGCAACACATTTCTGAATGTTTAATTTCCAACTGCACTTTTTATATTTGGCTAAAAGGCAACCGAAACTTTGAGTGAATCATTTTATTGAGAAGCCCATGTTGATCATTTCTAAAACCAGCAAATATGCAATTTTCTGCAGCATGTAACGTCATCTACATCAACTCTGTGGACGTGGAATCCCTGACTGGGCCTCAAGCGATAGCCAAGGCCGTTAAGACTACATTTGAAAACTTGGCGCAAGGGCAGACAACTATGGTTCATTTCAAAGTCTTCAGTGAGGGTATCACTTTGACGGACAACAACAGAAAGTAAGTTTAATATTGTCAACTCACAATTGTTCTTTGTTTCTTTTGTTCCATCTTATATTTGTTACTTTTTGTTCTGCTCTTTTCCTATTTTGAATTGCTTGTATAAATGTTTAATTTAACAGATACCTACTGCTTTAATGTGATTGTACTAAGAATAATGAGTTCATAAGTAACTATAGTTTACTGGGATCAATACAAATTATGATCTACTGGGGTATGTACAAAAGTTCATTGTGTGAAACAAAATTTTTGTAATGGGGGATAAGTGAAGCAACTGGTTTACTGTAAATACATCATGGGAGTTCAATCCCCTTGAGTGATCCCTCAGAGTCATTCAAATCAAACAATCAATCATTTGTTGGTTAAAGAACTTGTTTCTTGATGTTGTGATGCCATCATGTCAATCATTGTCTGACTGCAGGTTGTTCTTCAGACGGCACTATCCTGTCTCTGCTGTGACTTACTGTGGGATGGATCCGCAGGACCGCAGGTAACTTATTCTATCACTTTTTTTTTTAATGCTAGAATATAACGTTGTTTTGTCATGGTAGAATATAAAATGTTTGTTTTTTTCATTCTAGAAAAAACATTTTTTTTTTTTTAAATGGTAGAATTTGTTTTTAATGGTAGAAAATTATGCAACTTTTTGCACAGTAAAACCTCATTAACATTAACTCGCTTAAGAAAAACAATAAGTTAATATAAACAAACTTTGTATCCAAGAAGAGATGTATTATTGTTAATAATCCCAGCTTGGCTTGAATATATTTGTGGTTTGAACATGCTTTTTCAGTCTATTGAAATTCTTGTTATCAAAGTGTTTCTGTATATCCAATCCCCCCACTAGTTAGCCTTGGTGTGAATCATGTCAGTAGTCCTTTACAGACTAGATGACAAGCAGTGGTTCCAGTCCCGCCTGATTTCATTCTACTCCATCACATGTAGCCACCATTGGGGTGGTCATTTTGTTTTCTTGTTCATGAGCAAGAGGGTCTGAATGTTGCCAACATGATTCAGTCAGTCTAACAGTTGCTGTCTCCACGTTGAAGGAGTAGCTCTCTGGCAGCTTCTAGCCCTCGTTTTACACTCTCTGAGACTGCTTTTCATCAATGTATCTTTCCATTTGTATCGCTGTCTAGCCGTTGCTCATTTTATTTCATGTGATACCTTTTGCCTTATTTTTATAGGCATCTTAAATCTTTTAAACTGGACAAAAATTTCACTTTTCTCTTTAAAAACATAATTTTTCAATAACCGAGCATGCATCGCTGACGTATTGTTCCCCTTCATCTTCTTCTTCTGCCTTTCTATTCCCCAGTGGAGCATAGGCCCTCAAGCAACTCACGCCAAGTCGTTCTATCCTTCGCCATTACCTGGAGCTCTCCCCATGTCCTCCCCATCTTTATAACTTCATTCTCCAGCTCTCTTCTCCATGTGTTTTTGGCCTTCATTTTATATCTGAATATATACTCAACTAATTCACATCATCAGGTATATATATATATATATATATATATATATATATATTATATATATATATATTATATATATATATATATATATATATATATATATATATATATATATATTATATATATATATATATATATATATATATCTATATATATATATATATATACTCAACATTGCTAAAAAATTTTGTTACCACATCATTTTAGATATTAATCTATACTCAAAATGCTAAAATATTGTCACCACATCATTTCATTTATAAAAGTATACTCAGCATTGCTAACATATTGTCACCCCATCATTTTATATATAGATGTATACCAACATTGCCAACATATTGTCACCCCATCATTTTATACATAGATGTATACCAACATTGCCAACATATTGTCACCCCATCATTTTATATATAGATGTATACCAACATTGCTAACATATTGTCACCACATCATTTTATATATAGATGTATACCAACATTGCCAACATATTGTCACCACATCATTTTATATATAGATGTATACCAACATTGCCAACATATTGTCACCCCATCATTTTATACATAGATGTATACCAACATTGCTAACATATTGTCACCCCATCAGTTTCAATCTATATCTATACCCAACATTGCTAAAATATTGTCACCACATCAGTTTTAATCTAGATCTATACTTAACTCCGCTAATGTGTTCCATTAAATCACGACCTTTATTTGTAAATTTCTCAGGTGGAAACGGGAAGCAGAGGCGCCAGGTGGCCATGGAGATGCCAGGTAAGTTGCTGTGATGCCAGTGTCATTCTGTGTTTGTTTATTTGTAATTGATTTCCCCTGAACCCAACGTCGGCATATGGAGATGCCAGGTCAGTTGTTGTGTTGCCAGTGTCATTCTGCGTTAGTTTTGTTTTGTTTTTGTTTCCCTGCAGATGTTTATGATTTCTATATTTAAGATCACACAGCATTCTTCTTCATGTTAAACTGCTTTGTGGCGCCAGCTGTGTATTTGTGTTTGCAATCATCATCATTTTGTTTATCTATTCATTGTTTTATACCATGTTAGTTTTGTGATCCTGTCTTTGTTAATGGTTGTCCATAAAGAGGTGTCAGTAGTTCATATAAACAAAATTGCCTGCAACTGTTGGGAAGATTACTGAGAATAAAACAGTTTTAGGACAACAAAGTTTATTTCATTACACCACCAGATTTTATCTAATAAGCACAATCTCTGCTGAGCAAGTGAGTGACCTGCTCAAAGCATCACACAAAGCACCGACTCTGAAGGTCCAGCAGTAATCCTATGGGCTGTCCCATAAAATTGCACTTGTGGACTAAATGCAGTCAAATTGAACCACAACCTTCAACACAATTGTCAGAACCATTTGTTGTATACATCTCTTGAAAACATGACTGTATGTTTTTAATATTGTAGTTTGTAAGAAATTTCCAAATAAAAACACACTACATGATCTTTGTTTTCAGGTTGTTTGGATTTGTGGCTAGGAAACAAGGCTCAACCAATGAAAATACATGTCACATCTTTGCTGAACTCGATCCGGAACAGCCTGCGTCAGCAATAGTCAACTTTGTCACAAAAGTTATGATTGGTCAGAAAAATTGAGTTGCCAGATTTCTGCTAGCTTTTATGAATCTGTTGATGTGATTAAGGATTTTAACATTGTAATTGTACATAGCATGATTAATCTCATGACTTGACGACAGCTCAGTGTTGACTGACGACGTGTTTATTTGTTTTTTTTATTATTTCTGTGTAGTAACAATTTTATATTGTAACTAATTGTTGTTGTTAATAATTATATAAATATGTTCAGATAAGAGGCTAAACTCAGGTCTGTGTGGACAATAAGGTCCATGTGGACACACAGGTCTTTGTGGACACGGGTCTTTGTGGACACATTGTGGACACACAGGTCTTTGTGGACATATAGGTCTTTATAGACATGAGGGTCTTTGTGGACATAGGTCTGTGTGGACATTAAAGTCTTTGTAAACAGAGGACTTTATGGACATGAAGGTCTTTGTGGACACAGGTCTTTGTTGAGAGAATCAGCAGCACTTAAAGGCATAATTAAAACAGATGGTAAGATATAGCTACATTGTGGGATAGGAAATGACAACTAAACCATTCAAAAGTGGGGAAGAGGAGAACAACAAACAGTTGGATAGAACAAAACATCTAAACAATACAGAAACCACAGTAGCCAAGGACAACTAAAGAATACAAAAACTACAGCTGCAGAGGTAAATTAAAGATTACAAAAAGTACTTCTAGACTGTGATTCCAGATGTCTCCTATGAGATGATGTTCTGCTAGAAACTTGTGGCTCCAGGTTGGACCTAGCTTCATCAGATGTTCTTGGAGATAAGACGTGAGTCCAGCCACATCACAATGAACGGGTCAGATTGACAAGAAAACACAAAACACTGGGACAGTTTTTCACCATTTGGCCGGACATCATAAAATGAATAAATAATCTATTTGCTGTTAGTATTTTGATTATTGTGACTGATTATGATATAGTTCATTGAGTTAGTAGACTAATGTAAGAATAGTTGTCCACATAAACACATGTATTTTTATCATTAAGTTAAATCCATCTTCATGTTGTTCAGTCTAAACTATGAGCAATCAATTAAAACAGTTTATGACGGTATAATTTGTTTGGATGTTTGTTCTGTGACTTCCATATCTTGAAGAAACAGCTCAGGTGTAAAGAAACACTGCCCATGTCTGTGAGCTGTGTACAAACATTACCTGCATCAAGAAGGTGTGTACAAACATTGTCCATGAAGTGTGTACAGACAATACCTATGTCTATGAAGTGTGTACAACCACCACCCACGTCAAAGCCACAGCAGCTGCAACAGTATCAAAGATATCACCATCTTGTAGATAGTGTTTTGTGGGGACGAAAAAAAAACTAGTTGTTGACCCTGGCACAGTCGGTACAAGCCGGCACAGTCGGTACAAGTTGTGTGTAGCTCTAGAAGCTTCCCTGTCAGCTGGATGCCCTGGGTCCTGCACATCCTTTCATTCGGTTAACTGGCACAAGTAGCAGGCTGGCGGCCATAACTTCCTTAGTTTGTTTTGTTAGGTTCCCTGAACTCTGCAGATGTGGTTGATGTTTTTTATTTCATCTTGACTATTTAAAACTGTTCATGTCTTGTTATATTCCTGGTTCATAACTTCAGCACTTGTTCGTATGTATATGAACAAATATCCAAACTTGTTCGTATGTATATGAACAAATATCCAAACTTGTTCGTATGTATATGAACAAATATCCAAATTATCACTGAGTACAGATGGAGACTCTTTAAAACTTGTAATGTCGTCCTGTTCTGCACATTGTTTCTGACCACAGATACATTGTTTCTGACCACAGATACATTGTTTCTGACCACAGATACATTGTTTCTGACCACAGATACATTGTTTCTGACCACAGATACATTGTTTCTGACCACAGATACATTGTTTCTGTCAACAGATGAAGTGTCAAAAGATCATGACTAAATATTAACATGGCCTTTTGATTGCTCCAAAAGTTAATATGTCTTTGTCAGGGCTCTAGAATCTGATGTGACGGTGTTCTGTCTGCAGCTGTATATTTATGTGTCATAATTCCAGGAGTCAATACATCCACATATCGTGACTGCCAACTCATCGGCTCTGACATCAAATATTAATAGACTGGCACTGAAATGTTTACATCTCTCTTAACCTGACACCAAACATGTCAGATGGTGAATGGTCTGTATCCTGACACCAAACATGTCAGATGGTGAAATATCTGTATCCTGACACCAAACATGTCAGATGGTGAAATGTCTGTATCCTGACACCAAACATATCAGATGGTGAAATGTCTGTATCCTGACACCAAACATGTCAGATGGTGAAATGTCTGTATCCTGACACCAAACATGTCAGATGGTGAAATGTCTGTATGCTGACACCAAACATGTCAGATGGTGAAATGTCTGTATCCTGACACCAAACATGTCAGATGGTGAAATGTCTGTATCCTGACACCAAACATGTTAGATGGTGAAATGTCTGTACCCTGACACCAAATATGTCAGATGGTGAAATGTCTGTACCCTGACACCAAATATGTCAGATGGTGAAATGTCTGTATCCTGACACCAAACATGTCAGATGGTGAAACGTCTGTATCCTGACTCCAGACATGTACTGCATTGACATATCTGTATCGGGACTCTGAACACTGAAGTGTCTGCATCCTAACTCAATGGCAGACATTGAAATATCTGTCTCCTGGCATAAAACATGTCAAAATATCTCCATCCTGACTCCAAACATGTCAGATGTTCAAATATGTGTATTATTCTGACATCAATCATGTATGACCTCACTCCTGCAGCACTATGACCCCACTCCTGCAGCACTATGACCCCACTCCTGCAGCACTATGACCCCACTCCTGCAGCACTATGGCCCCACTCCTGCAGCACTATGACCCCACTCCTGCAGCACTATGACCCCACTCCTGCAGCACTATGACCCCACTCCTGCAGCACTATGACCCCACTCCTGCAGCACTATGGCCCCACTCCTGCAGCACTATGACCCCACTCCTGCAGCACTATGGCCCCACTCCTGCAGCACTATGGCCTCACTCCTGCAGCACTATGACCCCACTCCTGCAGCACTATGGCCCCACTCCTGCAGCACTATGACCCCACTCCTGCAGCACTATGACCTCACTCCTGCAGCACTATGACCCCACTCCTGCAGCACTATGACCCCACTCCTGCAGCACTATGACCCCACTCCTGCAGCACTATGACCCCACTCCTGCAGCACTATGACCCCACTCCTGCAGCACTATGACCTCACTCCTGCAGCACTATGGCCTCACTCCTGCAGCACTATGACCCCACTCCTGCAGCACTATGACCCCACTCCTGCAGCACTATGGCCTCACTCTTGCAGCACTATGACCCCACTCCTGCAGCACTATGACCCTACTCCTGCAGCACTATGACCCCACTCCTGCAGCACTATGACCCCATTCCTGCAGCACTGACTCCGTGTAAGCTTGTCTGCTGATTTATCATTGATTTATTTGAGGGAAGAGCTTTAGACTTTGACCTGAAATAGGTTCCAGGAAACAATTGTACAGAATGAAACAGTTTTTCTGAAATTGTCTGCTCCCTAGAATGTCTGGTGTGAAGATTCGACTCTGGTGTCTTTGATCAGCCATCATGGGTTGATGGAACTAATGTATGTTTTGTGTTGGGTGATGCTGCCAGCAGAAAAAAAATGCTGTGCCAGCGAAGACAATTTTGTCTTGTAATCTCTCAAACTGCTTATGTTTACTAACATGTGCCATTTTGATGTTTATTGAGTCATAATTCTCATATCTCTCTCTGTGTAGTTGTGTGTTCTTTGTTTTGTTTTCCGTGTCAGGGAATATTGCATGAAACATGAGATGAGAGAGTGTCAGTGTTGACCTCTACCTGAAATATGAGATAGAGAGTAAGTCAAGTGTAACCTCTGCATGGAATATGAGATAGAGAGTAAGTCAAGTGTAACCTCTACATGGAATATGAGATAGAGAGTAAGTCAAGTGTGACCTCTACATGGAATATAGAACCTGTCAGTGTCCACAAATTGCTATATGGCTACAGGATGTGATGTCACAGGAAGTCTCCAGAACACCTCCATGTCTGAGGAATGCTGGCTGGGATGTCACAACGGCCACCATTACAGTAGGGACATTTCTCTGGAGGGTTTGATTTTGTTGAGGCTTGCTGTTTGTCCCTGTTACTGATCTCTACTATCATATTGGTTGTTAGATGATCTATCACATGGTGTATCAGTGAAGTGGAATACATACACCAACTGTGTGGTCTTGCAAGGCAAAAATATATTGTAATGGTGGAAACAAAATAGAGAATATACTCCAGGGAATTTTCTGATGTGTGCGCGCTCAATCATAATAACAGAACAGAAGTCCAACTGCATGTTTCTACAGTATATGAATATGTGTCATTCATCTTTACATTCATGGTTTTGCGTGTGAGTGTGTGTAATTTGTAGATTTGTGTTCCCCATATTTGAAGAATTTTGTTTCTGTGCCATGAACAAAATTTCAGCATATCAAGAGGATTCTGTGTTTGTCACGTCACGTCTACAATGATGGTGTATTTTTCTGTGTTTGTCACGTCACGTCTACAATGATGCTGTATTTTTCTGTGTTTGTCACGTCACGTCTACAATGATGCTGTATTTTTCTGTGTACTCCCAAACTGGTGCTTAGCTCAAGAACTGGTTCGTGGACAAATGTCTGATGTTTGATTGGTTGTTTCGTGGACAGTGGTGGGAGGGGAGGGGCTAGCTTGTCAGCATGGTGGTTATGTGGTCTAACCACATTGAGGCACAAACTGTTTTCGTTGGCCCAGTCTGTACTTGGTACCAGGAAGTGTATCACGAAGTAAAGGCGACCAGTGTGATATTGACCTCGACACAGGAACCTTTATACACTGAATGGGTGTACAAATGTGGGTCTGACCCAGTACAACGCCCAGACTGGAAACAGATCCATGACTTTGTTTGTTGCTTTTGTTTCC